TTGTGGGGGGGGGGGGGCGTACAAACGTGAAGGCTGAATTTGAATCTGCTAAGTCGCATTTGGAAAAGGACGTTTGCCCAAAATATCAGACTCCTGTCTTTTATGCCTCCCAGTCGAAATTTTCACAGGGCCGAAAGTGAGACCCAGGAGCACAAGAAAGATGAATTTAAACTTTCCGAGTCGCACGTGAGCACGAAAATCAGCTTCCTAGCTTTCGTGCTTCCCGAGATACCAATTTCTCCCGTCAGAATTTTCGTGGGGCCGTATGTGGAACCCAGGCGCAGGGTAAGACTAAATTTAAATCTGTGCTTTGCGCGTGGGCGGGGACATTCTACTAAAATTTTAGCCTCCTCTGTGGCTCCCGACTTGAAAATGCGGGACAAAATGTACATGCACACACACATACACACAGACACACGCTCACATAACACACACAGACAGGGGCGTGACAATATGAGTTTTGTGCTGTTGTTACACAGCGTAAAACGTATAATAAATTACTTTGTTGGCAAGCTGTGTGACATATTGATAGAACCTGCTGATGCCACGCAACATGCTCACAAAATCCTGGCAACGTCTTTTCCATTCGTCGCTCACAATTTCTTGCGCTTTCTGAAATGGTTTCAAAGAGTCAGAAGAAAGCGATCTGGGAAAATGCTGAAAGCAACTACTACCCTGTACCATCCATGTCTAAGGAAATGAAGTATTATTTTGGCCATCAAATACCTCTTTTTTTTTTCTCTCCTTCACTGGTATCAGTTTTTATATGTTCTCCACTTTTTTTACCAAGCGCAAAAAAAGAAAAACGTGAAAGGAGAACAAAAATCGTGAAAATCAGCAAAGAAACTTTCCAGCACCAAAAAAGCCTACAAGGCGTACTCGGAACATCACAACACTTCCACTGGGTCTAAAAGACTCGATCCGCTTTGTCAAAAGGGCTGAAACAGCAAGAGTAACTTTCTCTTCCGGACCAGCGTTCCACGAATCGCTTTAAAATGTAACAGAAAAGTACCTGCTGATCCATCTCGCTATCACCATTGATGCTTCGCTTCATGACATAAGAATTCTCGTGAAGCCATGAGAATTCTTGTAATATGTGAATGCCACGACGGCCATGCTCAAATGGTAAATAGAACATATCCACAAATGCGGCAATTTGTTCCGTATCAACTTTGCTGAAATTATTTTCTGCCAAATACCGCTCAAACTGCAACTTTCACAGAAGCACAACCGATGTGCTTGAAATACCTCGTATCTGGGTCAGAATGACTGCTGCTATCCATGCTGACATCCGAAGAAATTTCAGCCATCTCCTGGGTACTGCATTTGCTTCGTTCCGAAATATCATCCTGCAGCAAAACCGAACATCTCAGAAATCAATTTAAAATGAAAAAAATTGCATTCTAAAATACAGATAGAGCCAAATGGAACAGGAAAGCAAACCTTGCAGACGGGTACCAAATCCATTGGTTCACTATATTCGGCACTCATTGAGTTCACTGTTTGCGCCATTAAACTATTCTGAAAAATAACGCTGTTACTTCAGCAGCAATTACTCTAAGTAACAAATCGGCCTCGCGCTTCTGATAATGCCACTGCACTTTTTTAGCTGAATGAGCAGTGGACAAATGCGAGTTCACAATGATCACCTTCTGTCCAACCTCTTTACAGTTGCCTACCTCATTAAAACTTGTACAGTGCTGGAAATCACATAAATCAACAAAAATAATACAAGGCAAGTATATGAGAACAAAAGTGAGCCAGGCTGGAATCAAAAGCTCACTGAATTCGATTAAAAAATAATGAAAATTTTTTGAATATTCTTGGCACGCTTGGTGGACTGCTAAGCACCACTACTATCGGCCTAAAGCTATCAGTTCGATCCCGTCAGTAGGAAAATCAGAAGTAATAAGATCTGCTGATTCGCTTCGACTGCAAATTATTAAAGCATTCCAAAAAATTAAAAACACTATAAGCTTACTTCTACGTAATTCGCGGAAATGCAAACCATCGAGAGTGGAATGCTTTTGGCAATGTAATTTCATCATGCTATCTTGAAAATGCCTCCATAACTTTACACAGATAACAAAATACAAAAGAAAGCGGGGAATGCGATTCATCCGTAAACAAAGATAGGTGGCCTTCACCCGGAACATCTGGCACGTTCAGCCTTACCTTTATGACTTCGCTGGCTGCACTAACAGTCTCAATAAACCACAGCTTTCAACAGCATGGTACATTTACGTTGAAACTTTGAATGAAATCAAAAGCGTCCCGCACCAGCACTGCAGATGCGATCATGTGTTTTTGCATGATTTCATCCTGCAGGGGAATCGTCTATATTGGGATGTGATTGCGGTACTGCAAATTCAACACATGATACATCAGAGGATGCGCCTAAAAAAAAGCTCATTTTGCGCTTGCTGATCTGCGCATGAACAGTAAACATCCTTAAAAAAAAGTACTGCTCCCTGCTCAGTCTGGCTACCGAATTAACTGAATGACAAAAGTGCCTTAAAGTTAATTTCCATTTCTGCGCACACAAGACCTGGGCACTTGTGTCGCAAAAAGACATAGAATATTTTAGTAAAATTTCACCTGCTTTCCTGATTAGCTGATGAAATTGTTTTTTGTTACAAATGCTTTTGACTAGTTCGTGCCCAAGTTTTACAGGCGTATTTTACGCCCCTGTGCAACACAAGTACTTCAAGCTCAGCGTTAAAGCATGCCTGGATCTTGTGTGTTTTACGTCTAAATGCTCGCATTTGGACAACAAATATTCCCATGGAGTCAAGAAAGTTAAATTTGATTTCGTATTGGCATTTTGCCAAAAGCAGCTGGATTTCAACTTTAATGTGTGCGTACGCATGACGTGGGCATGTATGATTGCTGAACTTGAAACATTCTGCTCATATATAGGCAGGGAATATCCACGTGAAGCTTCAACTTCCCACCCTCTTTGGTTCCCGAAATCATTTTCCTACCAAAAAAAAAATACGTTTTTTTACCGGGCGCTGATAAGTAAGACCCAAGCGCACAAAACGTTGTAAGTTGTCAGGATGGCACCTGAACAAAGGAAAACCTTATGAAATTCCAGCTTCTTAGCTTCTGCTGTTGTTGAGCTGAATGTTGATGACAAAAATTCGAATACATACACACACATATACACGCACAGGCCCCTTCCCAAAATGCATTTTTACATTTGCTCAAAAATGAAAAAACGTATAACAAAAAGGAACCGCAGCACTGAAATACACAATTGCTGTCTGACTGTCATTAGTGCCGGGATGCTTCGACTGTTCACGAGCTAAAACAGGAAACCCGCTTGTTGAGGGCTTCTGCTCCTCATCTTCGTTTTCTCCTCCACTGCAAACAGGTACAGCACTTCTGAAAAGGCAATTTTTTGCAAAATTACTGCAACGGAAATTTGAAGAAGTGTCATCGAAATACTACTTACAAGTAAGGACACATCAATGGTGGTACAGCGTTTAGATAGTCAATCCACTTTTTTATTCCTTCATCCAGCGCTTTCAACGGATGATAGAGGCGTTTCGGTGAAGCATTCTCAACAATACGCACTGCAACAGGAACTATATCACCGGCCTCCAATATTGCATCTGATTCCTCTTCTGAAAGATTCATACAGAGAAGTTGGGAGTCGCAAAGTGCCAAACACCACCTCATTTTTATTATGCGTTTTTGCTGTGCAGCGCTATGGTGCTGCTACAGCGAGCAAAACGTATACTGTCGAGAGGTCTTCCGTGTGTGTGTGTGTTCGGAAGCGAGAGAATTTTGTCATTCACTTTCAATTTAGCACCCAACAAAAGTGGAAGCGTGAAATTCCTGCCAATCAGCTAGATGTTTTTGTATATGACTGATATTAGGGGAGGGCTCGCGTGCTGCTAGAGCAAATAGCTTTTATCTGAAAAATCTTAAAAAAGCTGCATTACTATACTACTGATTGCACGAGGCTGTAAAAGTCAAAAACTTCCATATACACCTTCTGTGTGAGGCAGCGACATTCCGAAGTTGCTCAAGTGGTAGCAATTGCCAGAAGCAAACAGGACCTAGTAGGCCTGTTGTTGGATTCCCCGTTCAAGGGTTGCTTTGAAACAGGCTCCCTCTCGACCTTTACTATACAAGCAGACCTCTTCAAAACACAGCAAAGGCCTCAATTTTAGCACCAGGCTATTTTTTTATCATCCACATCAGGTTACAAAATCACTCGGAGATACATCACCCAAACCCACTGCAGCGAGTATCAAAACAACACGGCAGTGACGAACACGGAATATTAATGAACTTGCAAACACGTTAGAGAAAAAAAAAATACCTTCCTTTATTTCAGCGTCAGCGTGGCAACTATTCCATTCAGCCAATGTATAAAATGGTAAAAAATTTGCCTCATAGCGACAATTCGGATTCAGCAACATTCCAGAGATCTCCTCCTTCAGCTGAACTGATCTGAAAGATCTCTCAATAGCTGTGGTGGAAATAAAGTGCTCCGGGAGTGAGTAAATTCAAAATAGCTGAATAACACACCTTCCTGCAAATGGACCCAAAAAAACTCGCTTTGGATCATAGTCATTTGCATGTAAGTTATCCCAAATCACTGGCTTTCTCTGAAGAACCGCGGCGACACGTCGAACATGATCAACTGTAATATCACGTGACACTACTCGTGGTCCTGAAGAAAATCAAAATAAACCGAAAAAAAAAATAATCCAATTACTACTACCAACACAACAAGTAGCAATTCGTTTGCGCTGAAAGTCGACAGACAACGTGGACAACTAATCCTTTTACGATTTGTTTATCCGATTAGATGGTACTGCTGCACGTTAGAGCCCCCAGAAGCGAAAGCCACCGAAGCCTACCAATTATATGGCTGCATTTGGCACATGCAGCCATTCAGTTTATTTCGAATGCCTTCTCCTCTCACAGTGAGCGAATATGGACGGCCGAGAAAGAGGAGCCACTCTCTGATTACTACTAAGAGCTGGACAAAGTTCGTCCTGTAACATCTGAGTAATGGAAAAATGGTGCATGTTCCGATTTTTTTTCAGACTGTTTAAATTTCTGTATGATAAATGAGCAAAACCACATACCCGTCCACAAAATTTGTATGCTGGTGAGCAATTTCTTGCCAAGCGTAAGTAAATAGTCCGATTCTTCCAGGGATGGGACTGCACGCGATTCGCAGTATTCTGAATTAAACGATATATAACCATAAAAGAACGTAGTCGATGGGAAGTTCTCAACTGCACTGGGGGTATTCAGGCTACGAATTAAGAGCTGCTCCAGACTTTTGACGTATGAACAATGGGAAGTGATAGGGGCTATAAGGTAAAGCATATTATTAAAACTACTGTACATTGCACAGCAACTGCAGATATCGATGGTTCCCAAATTTTTTATGCCAGTTAACATAAAACTCCTTCCGGTGGACAAGTTTTTTCTCTGGAATAAAGCAAAACCTGGAACAGAAGTACTCTCAGAATTTCTGGGACAAAAAAGGGACCGTATTATACTGACCAGTGGGACAGAAGAAGAAATGACGACATTTCAGTGATTCATACAAGTTATTGGCAACCGTCAGCTGCGCCATTACAATCGACGAGAACTGCTTCTTGTCAGCATCGTTCAGCACAGCATCGATATCATCGAAAAGCAATGCGAAAGCATCACATCCTAAACAGCGTACCTACAAAACAGAGAAGATCAAGTCGCCGGAAAATACTACAACCACGAATGTAATCCCGATACAATGTAATCATTCAAAATTTTTCGAATCAAATCTTTGTACTATGCCTTGCAGTTTAGCTAAAATTTAGCTCAGCTGATTCTGCACCCATGTTTGACTGGATTTTTCACAACAATAACCTCATTTCACACCTCTTTCGCCTTATTCAAAGTAGTTAAAACTCACTAGTACCACTCTCCATGTGAGATAAAGGCACTCTGAAGTGAGCAACAGCAACCTTCTGCTGGTACGGCTGTCGACCGGCCCCCCTTCCCAGGGTTAATTACAGGCAAACTGATGGCAGTTCCAAATTATTGTCGAAACAAATGGATGAAGAATAAAGGAATTACTTCTCCCGCTGACCAAGTCGAACTTCCGATCTTTGGCACGGCACAAAAATAACACGAGCGAAAAATTTTCGCTACTCTCTATGCCTCAATCTCAGCACAATTGGCCTACCCGGTAGATTTCAAGATCTATGACATTTAATCATAACTCTGCACTGCATTTTACGCTCGTTTGGTAAAATACCCTATACCGGTGGTTCTCAATCTTTTTTTCACCGCGGACCTCTTTTTAAGTAACTTTTGCTATCGTCATCGCTCTTTTCTTAAGTACCCTTTGCTGCCGTTGCCCAGCGAGACTTAATTGAAGACTTAAAGCACGAGACTGCATCAAAAACTTATTTCAGTTTTCTAATGAAGTTCGTCTTCAAAACTGGCGAGACGGGGAACTGAGTTAATCTGCACACATGCACCTATTATGATATCTCTTTATTGCAAGTATTCTGACTGAATTTCGAAATGATATCATTAACGTTCTTCTCGCTCAGATGGCCATTGTGTAGTGCTTTAGTGTGCTAATTACCAATTTGTTGCCAATTTTTACATTAAAATTTGATGAAAATTTAATGCAATTCTTTTCGCTTCGTCCCTTGCTTGTCTGCCTTTGAGACGCCACCACTGACCATCTCGCGGACCCCTGTGGGGCTGCGGACCCCAGCTTGAGAACCACCGACCTATGCTGTACCAGGCGCAAAATTTTCAGGAGTGGGCAGCAAAAAAGGTCTTTGCCTTGCAATTTTTCTAATAACTGCGTCTGAAGGCATATACAGTAATCACACACGCTCGAAATCTTCACCTATAACAGCGGCACACTAGTTTTCAGTAATGCTTGTAACTCCAATTCCGGTGCCTCTCGACAATGCCATTTCAACCCTCAAAAGAATGTTCCCATATCTTCCGCAGTTTTTTTACTTTGGCTCATTTTAATGTTTTTAAATCCAGTTACTCCCCTGCAAATGCAGTCTGGCGATTCCTAACTAGCTCTAATATATTTCTGGTCAAGTGATAAAACTATCTCCTTTAAAATGTAAAATCGACACTGTTTTTAAATAATTCTAATTGAACACTTCAATTTTTAACGCTTTTTCCTTTACGGCCAGCACTGCCAACAAGTAAGAAAATTACCCCTCTTCTCAATTACTACAGTTATACTACTGAACTGAATAATGGCAAGAAGCATTCAGTCAAAGAGAGCCACCCAAAACTTACATGAGTGCAAAAAATCATTAACAATTCTGGATTGCCGCTGACAACAAAAATACTTCTTTCACGGACGGAAAGCCCATCATGGAATCAAGGAAGCTGACCTAAAAACGCTAGAACTTTCTCATTTTCGTCTACATGATATAGTATTTGTCACTACAGTTGTCCAAGTGTGACATCAAGATAGGAGGTGTACAGCTCCTAATCTCAGCTTATAATAATTATGCTTAATTTACTTCATTTCCTACCAAGTCATTTTATTATTCTCGCTTCAGAATTTAGATTTTGCCCATGTTCTACGCCCATGCATGTGTGTATGTAAATATATAAATGTATAAATAACATATATGTGTATATAAATAAAACATCTGCAAGCTTTATGAACAGCTGACCTGTTCAGATTTATCATGAAGTGCTTTAATTTCTTTTTCACTTGAATATACAATATCGATGCCAGGCGAAAGCGCATAAACAAATGTGATGTTCTCGGCTTTGGCCGTCTGGATTAACGATTGCAACAGTTCTAAAACAACTGCAACAATAAGAACAGATCAAAACCATAAAACAAATTCCACCTTTCCGAACTGGTTCTGTTATTCCGTCTTCGTCTTCATCTTCTATTTCTTGTACGTTATAGATTAGCTTTCAGACACTGCCTGGGCGAGCTTATCGATGAACTGAGAGAAACACACGAACCGGTTTCCTCGGAATTATAAAGCTTTCTCCATTCAGCTCGGTGCTTCAGATCATCCTTTGGCGCATAAATGTAAGTATTCATTCCAAGGCGCTTCATACGACAGAACAGATCTCGTCGTTGGTCTGCCGTCCACGGCCGCCCGTAGAATCCTGCTTTTTTTTAAAATGTAATACATTCGCTGCTTCTCAAAATGGACAATAATGCGCCTCCGCCCTCTCCCGGAACAGTCCACAGAAGCAGCACTAGCCCAATATGCACCAAGATGACGAACAATCCGGACGAAGAAGGACGGAGGAAGAGTGAGGCGAGGAGAGAAAGGAGGTTCATATTTTTTATAATACATTCTGTAAAACAAGGATTTATGGGATGCAGAAATTTGCGCAAAAGTAATAGCGAGAATTTAGAAACAGCAGTAACAAAAACAACGGTAAACACCGCTACAACCCAGAGCCTAACTCATCCTTCCCAACAAGAGTATTTTGAAATTTTGTGATACCTTCTTTTCACTTGTAAATTTAGAATTTTCTTTTTTGCTAATTATTAAATTTCCACAATTTTGTGTTTTTCGCTCACTTTTCTTCATACCCTTTTCGTCTTTACTTTTCTGTGCAGCGGGAATTTCACTGCAGCTTTAATGCAGTTGTTGCTTTACTGAACGGTCCTCTTACAGTTTCCCAAGCTGATTTCTATTTTCATTTCGGCATCCAGTATCCTGCTTGCGTAAGGCGAAAACTACGGCTGAATAAAGATCGAAAATTTTGATATTCACTTTTTAATTATAACCGCTTTTTGGTAATTTCATCAAAAAAATTTTATTTCACTACGGTCAAAGTGGAGAGACAAACCCGCCTGGTATTGGAAGGGGGCCAAGTAAGTGGTATGTGGCAACATCGATCAATCGCCGGTCCGAATGCCCACGGCTCCTTGTTTAAAGCAAGATTATGGCGGTTTTGAGCCTATGACATGCGCCAGCACAAAATTACCCATCAAAACGAATGGTACAGGAGTGTGTATGTGCCGCTGGCGTAATCAAACGCTCGAATTTCAGTGTGAATGCGGCGTTAATTGCCATCATGTGGTGAGGAGCATTTACTGCTGTTCTTTGTTATCTCGATTTCCGGTGAAGTAGGCTCAAATGCGTGTGTGTGTGTGTGTGTGTGTGTGTGTGTGTGTGTGTGCAATGCCTTTACTAATTTTTAGGACATAGAAAAAGACCTAGGCGGTTAGAAAAAAAAAGAAAAAATGAAACACAATCTGCCAGCTCGTTCACTTAATTCTTAGGAATGGAAATTTTCAGGGGGAAAGAAGCACAGCCAAATAATTGTTCCTCTGATGAATCTCTGCTGCAAACAATATGTGGATTTTGAGCGAAACGCGTGAAGGGCCACTGCAGGGAGTTCTCCCATGTGCTGTACCCACAACGAATTTGTTATCACAAAAGGAACTTTATGGGCCTTGGTCGGTCCGTAGGAAACTGCACACCAACTTACAAGTGAGATGAATCGACAAGACAGTGATATGCCCCCCGATAACGCCACCAAAAGCATCATAACCGAATTCCACTGCGCCACTGGCACAGCAATCCCTCCACGATTCGTTCATTCGTTTCGACCCACTTTGGCAAACCAATTAAGCGAGCCTGCCATCAGCGTGCTAGCAAGCAGCCCTCAGAGAGAGCCTGGCCAGTGGGTGCCTGATATGAGAGCGGATACGGGGTAATTTCAAAAACTCACCTTCGATCACGCCACAGAGGAACTCGGTGGAAAGGCGCTGCTTCTCAGCTCTCGTCTTCGATCGTGTCTGCATTACTGCATAAGCCGCTGCCGGCACTTCCCTGTCAGTTTAGCGATCCACTGGATGCCGTCACCTCACACACTGCGCTGAAAAGAACACAGCCCGTATCGTTCATGCAGCGAGTGGAATCACAATCCAAGAATGAAGAGATGACCAATTTCCTGCCCCCAAACAGCAACAACCCGGGGAAAAGGAAAAGCCTCATGCCACGCTGCCAACTAAGAAACGAAAAATACACGAGATTTCGGGACAAACGAGGTACCCTCAGCGCAGCGAGTTCACTTCATAAAGGATGCAACGACTAGGCGCCCGTGAGAAACAATAACAGCCCCAGGCGCTCCCTATCGAACGCACTCAAAAACAGCCACCCACTCCAAAACCGCACCCTCCTACCACCCTGCTCAACAAGTCCAAAATCGAACACCTACGCTATTTACTAAATTCAGCTCGGCCCCGTCCCCGTCATACACGATTCGCCAAAAATTTTTTCAAGTGACAGCGAGTGGGCTAGACTACGGCGATTGGCGGATGTTCGAATGTGGCGGGTGGGGTGGGGTTGCTGCGGGTCCATGCAGGGCAACGGAGGGCGGCTGGAATAGGTTGATTTAAGAGCCGTATGGCGTAGATGCTTTGTCGGTTTGCTAATTCTCATACATTCGGAGGGAAGGGGAAGGATGGATGGAAAGGCGGAGGAAACGAGCTGCTGGTTTTTTTGCCGTGGGTACCCGGATTGGAAGAGGGCTGAGACACTGCTTGCTTCCAGAGTGCTCTTATGGTGGGGTTGGAGAGAAACTCAGATGCTACTTTACAAGCAGGATTCGGGAACGAGATAGAGAAGGGAACGAGGATACAAGTCAGAAGCTCGAGGTAAGAACTGAAGACAGTAGTAAAGGGAAAGAGAAATCAAAACAATACAAAAAATCAGAGCAAACCT